AGGTCAGATTGGTTCTATAATAAATCACCTTGTTGGTGGAGGCTGTCAGTTTCCAGAACTTTCTTTGGTCTACATATTTTTATTGGGTTTTGTCTATTCCACAGGTGTAGTAACTCGAGGTGGATGAGTGCTTAAAATATTCGATTATTTATTCATTTTCTTTTTAAGAATTTGCTCTATTCAATTTGCGATATTTTCAATTTTTAGGTCCTTTTCGCTCTTCAGCGTCTAGAAGTTATCCATCGACCACAGCCCCAAATGAAGCCCGGTCCTCTAGTTCTGGTTGGATTTGGGGGTTGTATAGATCTAAATATCCTTGCCCTCGATCTTTGGAACAAAGTCTTGCCGAATAATTCAGATAATCTAGTTGAATCTAGCTATCCTGAGTTTTCAGGAGGCCTAAGGAAGCTGGAGACATTAGAAGATATAGTTACAGACTTTACAGAATTGTTTGCATCTGGAGCTGCCGGAGAGTAAGTATTCACTAAAATGTTGTGTATTTTATAGAAGTTTCATGATTTTTCAGAGGGCCTAAACCTCAGTTATAGTCTTAATGTGATATTTTTCCAAATTTTCGGTCTAACTTCATAGTAAGTTTGTACTAGAGCCGTAATCTTAGCGACGTCTTTGCCTCACGGCTTCAAGCCATATTTAAATTTATCTCCAATATAATAACTTGATGCTTTTACATAATCTAAAAATAGATTGAAGTCGATATTACGATTAAAAATTGGCTTTCGAAAACATTTTTACCCACGATATGCCATTGCAAATGAGTATAAGAGACTCATAGGTTGACCTCTCTGAATCATTATCGGTGATGGGGAGGCTAATCAACTAACATCCTACGTTCATATTTTGATACGAACCGTAGGACCACGTGATATGAAGTCAAACTCGTCAGTGAATCCCAATTACTTAATATAGTTTCCCTTTTGTTGCTGCCCGATCAATAATAATTGGTCTACAAGGAACAAAGAAGACTGTATTATTTTTTCGCTGAATTTACTTGTGTCAAGTACCTCAAAGTATGTTACAATAAAAAATTGACTGTACCTAAAAAACTATGGCTTGCGTTCTTTATATTAATTAACTTGTTATTATTAGTTATTATTCTTATTGGACTTATTTACTACTTTCATTTTCCTATGTTTAAACGACAATTGGCTCCATATATATCCATATCCATTACCTTCATATTTGCATCCATTTTACAGGCGCTATGTTAGCAATGCTACTCTTTTCCAATATCTCGTCAGCCTGGCCGAGGAATTGATCACTGTTGATGATGCTCCGGATGTCGCGACCTCTGTATTCTCTGTTTCCAGGAGGTCGCGTGATACGTTGCAGGGAACCCATTACTCTGTTGAGTCTGGGGAAGCTGGCATAATGGAGGAGCCCTTGGAGGTACCTCAAGGCAGCTGGTGGGGTCTAGGTGGCAACGCGCTCGTCATGGCCAGCAGGATGTCGCGAGAAGGTGCTCGAGTGACACTAGCTGCACGCTTAACGGACCGACAACAGAGGAAATTGCCACCGAACCTTAGAGGTAAAAATCTCTAAAGCTAGTTTTTGACGAACCTCTCTGTTCATACGCTTTGACTCGACTTTCATTTCGAGCGATGAACTAATTCATTGATCCTATCTCACTAGAAGATGATACCGATTTCCTCTTGGTCTATTGTTGTTTTGTTCTACTCTAATGTTTCTTCTGATGCAGTCCTTAAGACACCTTTCCTCGGCAACAGAGAAAATGTTCAAAGTGTTTATCCGTCACTACTTTACAGAAATCATCAGAGCAAATAGCTATTTTAAGTTAATCTAGAGTTCT